AAAAATTAATTATTTAAAAGACACGTAAAATTATATAAAAAAATTATCTATAAATCATTTTCTTATAAATTTGGCAAAAACCCTTTTTAAGCCCTCAAATTTACCCTAAAATAGTATTTAAGCTGCCAAACTAAAAATGAAGCAGATAAGCCCTCTAACTCTTCTAATGATACAAATAAGCCTTTATCATTCATGAGTGTTCATGCTTTCATTGTGATATTAAACATGAAATACAGTTTGGTCTATTGGTGAGAAGGGCTTATTTGCATCATTAACAGAATTAAAGGGTTTATCTGCTTTGTTTTTAATTTAGAGACTTAAATACTATTTTAAGGTAAGTTTAGGTGTTTAAGAAGGGTTTTTACCTATAGATTAATGTTAAATTCCTTAAATCAAATCAAACTTAACACCGCTAGTTGCTATCATCATCCTTTCAATGAGTAGTACTAGGGGCACTCGCCTCCTGCACTCTCCAGTGAACACATGCTTTTTTATTGGGCCACGTAAGCTTGGTGAGGTACCTCTCCCCAACCACCATAACGTGGCCCAATGAAAATGGAAGTGTTGGTTGGAGAGTGCAAATGGCGAGTGTTCCTAGCATTGCTCCCTTATGCTAAGAAAAACCAAAGCTAGATCTGATAATCGAATCTCCAGTTGATTATTAATTCAAATTAATTTTTTAATCATTAATTTTGTAAAAAATAAAAAAAAACCAAAGCTTTTTCTCCACGCATACGGACCTCATAAATACTTTCTGGTCCCTTCGCCTGTCCCCAATGCCCACAGACCACAAATAAATTCACGTACTTTATTTTTTTTTTTTTATCGGCAAATAAATTCACATCCTGAACTCACCACTCTCAAATTGGTTACTTTTTTTCTTCTCTGGAAATGGAAGCATCAGTTGCTATGGCTGCTGCAGCATGGGTTGTTGGTGTTGCCATCCTGATTTGGGCTATGAACTTTGTGAATTGGGTTTGGCTAAGACCCAAGAAGCTAGAGAGAGACCTGAGACAACAAGGTTTTTCCGGCAACTCTTACCGCTTTCTCTACGGAGACATGAAGGAGAACGCAATGATGATCAAAGAAGCAAAATCCAGACCCATCAATCTCACCGACGATATACTGCCTCGGGTTATCCCCTTCGTTTATCATACCGTTAAAAAATACGGTAAGGTCACATGCTTAATATTTTTCTTCATTATAATAATCTAAACTATTTATCC